TATTTGTCCAGAGTTCCTTGAGGAATATTTGTAAGGATTGATAAGTTTTATGGAAGTTATGTTTTAACCTGTGTTTCATGTAAGTAGAATTATATTTGTACAGAGTTTCTTAAGGAATATTTGTAAGGATTGATATTTTTAAGTTTACACATTTAAAAGCAAAACAAATGTGAATTTATGTTATGTATTTTTGTGTTAAAATTTATTACAACTGTGTACTATATTTGTGGTGAGCTTAGAGTGAATATAGAACTATTTGTGAGGTAAAAATGATCTTTACAGTTCAAGATCATATGAATCATGGAACTATATACTATCAGACTGTTTATGTTGGTGAGACTGGGTGTTAACATCATATGAATGCCTATTTTTAAGTGTTTTTTTCCATTAGCAATCATGCAGGTATGTTGGGATTCAAGCTAAACTGTGTTTAGTTTTTTCAGAGATTGAGATTTGGTTTTTACCATATCAAAGTAAAGTTTCTTATTACAGGAGCATGCGCCACTCAGTGCGAGGTGGTTCCATAAAGATCAAACAGAATTATGACCACCTCAAAGAAAATGGAGACGTAGGAAGTGTAAACACTACAGGTTCAGGTCGGAGTCCTCATGATTTTGACATTAAGCTGCTTCAACAAAAGCGTCAGCAAGCAGAAATTAAAAGGTAAAAACAATTAAATAGTCTAAATGTTGATGTGTGCTGAAAAAAGCTTAGATACAAAAATATTTAAATTATAATTTCTGAAACAGTTAAAGAAAAGAGACTTTATACTTTTTTTTTTATAGTTAGGACAATAGGTAGCAGTTTCTACTATCTGCCTGATAGACTAGTTGAGATATCATGACTTCTAATGTACTTATTAAATGGTTTTCTTGTTACGTGATAACTATATTTGATGAATTTTAGCATTGCACAGCTAGTGAGAAAAGGTTTATCTCTACTTAATACAACATTTCAGAAATTTTATAAATCTTTTTACATATAGTGATAGAAATTAACTTGACGGTATTACGTTCCGTATATAGAAATCAACGAGAAGAGGATCTGAGAGAAAACCATCCATATTTTGACACGCCTTTATTTATTGTTGGAAGAGAGAGCCAGTTTCGTAAGATTTCTCAGATGATTGTATATGCACGGTATGACCCTAGAGTGAGAGATCCGGTGACAGGAAAAGAAAGAAAAATTAAATACAAAACTCTGCAGTAAGTTTTGTCTTTTGAAGGAGGAGGTACTTCTGTTAAACTTTAATGTTAAGCCCTTATCAAACTCTTATAAACATGTGAAAAAAAGCATATTAATTGTATAAGACTAAATTATTTTATGAGTTTTTGTATTGTAAAATATTGCATCTAAATAGAAATTACAGTATGTAACTGTGGATATCTCTCAAATATACTACATTAAAAGCTCGAGTTTTTTTTGTTTTTTTTTGCAAAAGCATTGTAGCTCTAAAATTGTTATCAGTAAAATAATCAATAATCAGTTTTCTTAATAGATGACACTGGCTTCTGGACTTTTTTTTTTAAAGAAAGTTAAACAATTTGTTTTTATTTAGTTTTACTAGGTTAGATCTTTGGGTGTTCTTGAAAAATCAATAGACTTGAAAGTCAGTATTATGAATAACCTGCTGTTTATTGCTCATGATTTTACCTCTAATATCTTGAAATTTGTAATAGAATATTAACCGTGTTTAGAAATGTAGATGCTTGAAATCAGTTATTTTTTTTACTTTATATTTTTTGTTTGTATGTGGCCTTTTAATTTTTATCATGAACATTTTGTAACTCCATTAAAAAGTTGGACATGAAAGGTTTGGTATGCTGTTTGAATATATGTATTGTATTATGTTGTATTCTTTGCTTGTTTTTAGACATAAAGATTTCCAACTAAGCATTCGTTGGCTAAACATGACAAAGATAGTGGAAGCTTGTTTTAAAATGCTGAGTTTCAAAAAAGCTACAAGTAGAGCTTTTTGTATCTCATAGAAACATTTTTTGTGTCCCATGATCTATTTAAGAAAATGAAGAGTTCAAATAAAAGTTTTATAAACATTTATGCTTTACTTGAATAAAAAATTATAAGTTGTTAATATAAGCTCTTAAAGTGGTTGACTTGTATATATATTAAAACATGATATTGAGGTTTTTACCTTTCACATTTTTTCTTTCATTTATCTAACTTTTTGTGTCTCACTATTTGATCAATCACCTGAATTGTGACAATGTTAAAAAATATACGTTGTTGTTGAATGTGCACCCTGAACTTCACCATTCCTTCTCTTGCATTTATAAAGTAACCTTCTCGGGTTGGTAACCTACTTGGACTGGGTAATGATCCTGATTACAACTGTATCCTGTATATCCATGATGTTTGAAACTCCAACTAGAAGAATCATGATCACTCCTGTACTTCAGGTATTACGTAAACTTATATTTGATATCTTAGACTGATTTAACACTGCTCTACTTCACATGAATAACATTTTACCCTAAAATAATCTAAAGGTTATTTATAAACTTCAGCTGTGTTCTCTCTTTTTTGTAAACAATTCTCCTGCTTATTGTACTGGTATTGGGCTGTTTCTATGTTGTGCTACCAAAAACAACAATTTCAAGAGACCTTTATGTTAACATTCTGGTGAAAAAAAGATACATTGAATGACTTGATTTGTCTCTCTTTTTTTTATTATTTGAAGCAAATTGATTAAACTTATTGATTTTTATAAACCCTAAATCATACAACTGTCCTTTGGGGAGGGGAGAAAAAAGTTGGTAGAATAATTAAAGGTATATTAATTTTGCTAATTTATACACAAAAAAAAAATGTTTTCCCCAGTGCTTAGTGGAGCAAAAGTATATTTATTTCAATTACATCTGGCAAAATATATTTTTTTTTTCTTACACTTAAATACCTTATTTTTGTGGATTTTATTTATTATGTAAAACTGTACTTTATATTAAAGTGGTAGCGTAATAGCATATATTTGATCTACTGTGACATATTCATGCTGTTTGAACCAATGTAATTAAAAACTGTGTTTTTCACAATCACTTGTCTTACAGTGAAAGTATTTTTATATTTGAAAAACACATTATATCATTAAAAGGAGCATAAAATTCATTCTTCAAAAAATTGAAGTTTATAATGTTTTGTGTGATTTTGAGCTAACGTATTACTGTGTGATGACAAGCCTATTTAAATTTAAATGCTGTTATAATTGCTTTTCCTTGTGGTAGAGTAATCTAAAAATTATTTTTGAGAATTTTAAAATTTAGAAATGTGTCCGGAAAACAAAAACTGTTGAAGTTTTTGTGAAGCTTTAATGCTACTCTATAGTTATAAATAGTTGTTACTCTATAGTTGTAAATGTTTTGTAATGACAGTAAATAATAAAAAAAAAAATTTAGTAGTAAATTTTAATCTTACCAAGAATGGTTCAAAGAAATTTGTAAAAGATTAATACAATGTTATTTAGTGATTTTTTTAACTCTAAAACTGGGAGTCAATCATGTAGAAATTAGTGGCTACTTTAGTATTTGGCAAATGATAAAAATTACTAAAATTGACTTTCATCAACAATGTAATATTAGAGCTTTCAAACAGTACAACTCCTGTGCTCATCAGCTCATATCTTGCAGAAGAATCTTTATTTAGAAATGAGTTCTCTCTCCTGGTTTATGTCAAAATTTTGGTAAAAGACTATTGCTTTTTGCAAAGTAAATTACCCATAGATGACCCATTTTCATTGCTAAATTTACACTGAGAGAATGTCCGAAAGTCATGTTTACCTTAGACGTTGTAAGTGTAGGGTTAACACATGATGTTTGTCATGATGGGGTTCCTGTTAAAGTTTGTGACCTAAATCATTAGAATCCAATCAAAAGAGGACAAGAAAATTGCAAAGCAGAAAGAGTAGTAATAATGAGTTACTTTGTTCTTCTCATTATAACAACTTTCACTGTCTTGGATTGCTCAGCAACTGACAGGCTTAAATATGATTGATCAGATCTCATCCAAAGAAGGGTATGAGAAATATTTATTGTTGTTTCTCCTAAGTGCACAGAGTTTCCTAGAGGTCATAATCATGTTAGAAATCATTCTTACAGTGCAAATCAAGGTTAAAATTGAGTGACCCTGAGCAAAAGTAGTCTTGCTTTGAGTAGACTTTTCATCAATAGCTAAACAACAGTTTCAGGAGTTTCATTGTGCTTTTTTCAAGCAAGGGGTTCAACCTTAAACTTATTGAGAGTTTTATATGAGATTTTCTCATATTAAAAGTTGCCACCAGAACATGGCAATTTTTTGTATATGATCTCGCCTCACGATTTTAGGGTTAATTAAATCGAACAACATATTGTATTCAAATACTACATTCAGTTTTTAAAAGATCTGGTTTAAAATTCTTTTTAAGTGTTGATGCATTTTGATTTTCTACTGTGCTTTTATTTAGAATCACTTATATGTGACGTGTGTTTTTTATTACACATCTCCTTTCACCTGAAACGTGTGATGCCAGGTAGTTTGTTTTGTTCGAGGAGCTGTAAAGTAATGGCAGTAAGAGAGCCTCAGTAATGTTTTATTTTTTACTTTAGATTGCAGAATACGTATTTGTTGTAGCTATGAGCATTGAGTTGACTCTTAAGACTTTCGCCGATGGGCTTCTGTTTACTCCAAAGGCTCTTATTAAAGATGTTGCTGGCATCATGGACTTCTTTATTTATACTGTGAGTATTACTGTGTACAAAATAATATACACACTCTTCCAAAATACATATAATTGTGGGCAATAATTGCTTCTATCTTAAAAAATTGTAACAAAATCTGGACCTTGAGTTGCACATGAAAGAAATAACAGTTATAAAGTTAGGAGTAGAATAAGCTATACCGAAGAATTGTTTGTATTGTGTTATTACATTTGAACTTTATAGCAGTGTAAATAGTGTTAATTTTTTTGGTATATCCTTATGTTAAAAAAGGCCTAGTTATTAGTTTAGTGGTCAATTATTTATCTTAGCATTGATTCTTATTTTCTCAATTTCTTTAAAGTTTTTTTTAAGTATTTTAGAACTAATTATTGTTTACCATCAGCTGTTGTAAATTAAAATAGGTGGTATATTAGTAATTTGAGATTTTTAAGGTGTGAGTTTACAGTTTGTAATAGTTTTCAAAATTAAAGATTTCAAGTAACAATAAAACTAAGTATTTGCAGGCATAACAAATGAAAATTAACAGTGATTCAGTTGATCTGACTTAGAATCATCTATATATCTCAGTATTACAGAAACAAGGCACTTTATAACTTTTCAAGTAATAATATGATGAAACATCACTGTAGAATAAACACTTCACTTTTATTGGTACATTATGGTTTCCATTTAGAACAGTAATTAACAAAAATTTCGGTCACTTTGAGCAAAATCTTTTGCTCATTACCATTTTTACCAAGGAGACTTGATGAGCATCACCTAATGTCTTATTTGGAAACTGTAATTATATTAGTCATTTGTGAGACAATGAGTTATGTACTTAAGGCATAAGCTAAGAATCGTAATTTTTTAAACATAACCGGCATTAAAAAAAACCATCGTAATAAAACTGGAAGTATTCTTAAATACCATAGAAGCACCAGTGCTACTTGTTGAAATAAGTGCTTTGGACACACTCACCGAATAAAGAGAGAGCAAAACAGTGGCTTCAAAGTGGGGTAGTGATTTGGCTATGAATGTGTAACTCAGATAATAAAACTTAATTGCTAGTAATGTCAAATTGATGACATGGAATTTTTACGCAACATGGTGTTTATATAAAATCATAATAAGTGTTATATTAAGGATATTGGAGTTAAGTGTTACGATGAGCCATCTTGATACACTTCTCAAATTGATAACAAAATGTAATTAGGCTTCACAGGATTGACTTTTCGATTTTGATTGGTTATGTTGCTGTTAATGGTGTGACATGAAAATTTAAATAACCAGAGTTTAATGAACGTTACCCATTTGCAGTAATTTCAATATATTTCAAATTGTTAGTGCAGCAGGTTAACAATGATGGTTTGCAGTAGTTGTTTGAAACGTCCTCTCCAAACTATTACAGATGGAAGGTGGTGCTTATTATACAAGATTACCTTTTTTTTTGGAATATAAGACGCACCTTATTTTGAAGACAAAGTTTTTTGGGGAAAAAAAGCTACAGTCACATTTCAAAGATTTTTATTGAACAAAATTCAATTTGATACTTTAAAATAGTATAAATTGTTCTAAACACAAAGAGCTCAAAACATCAAAATAAGAAAATTACTAGTAAATACAAAAAAGGGT